AGTATGGATTCACGCAGTAATTTGATACGGGATCCCTGACGTATCCTTGTTGGCAAGTACAACCTGCGACGCAGTACTGATAGCAAAGCTGGAAACAATCTTTTTTAGATTGTTATGTACTCAAATGCTTGCGAAACCGCTTACCCAATAATTCGAGTTGCAAGCACGTTCACATGGAACACATTGGGCATAGTAGGTGTACGCAGGGCAGGCTACGAGTAATTTGGTTTGCCGGATGGAAGTGATAAGTCAGTAAACTTACTATAATAGGGTGGCTGATATCCTGGATATGGGTAATATGGTGGAATATAATAGCCGAAATATCTGATTGGTGGATACGGATATCCTCCTGGAGGAATTATAATTATGACGGGAGGTGTGGTAGTGCTAGTGCGAATTGGATTATTGGGACAGGCTGCCCTAAATAGAAAATTTTATCATAGTGTCAAGAAGGGAGAAATATTATACACATACGTTGGAATGCATAGCCCGACGTAACGTATGTAGCCTGGTATGCATCGGCAGACATTTGGTATACATTGTGCAGTGCATGGCTGAATAAAGCGTTCTTTGTAATAAAGATCGTTCTCCAGCAATGTAAGAAATTATCAACTTGCAAAGTAACATAGTGAATGGAGGTACTATTCACTTACTGGATTTCGTGTCGCGCAAGTGGGCTCACAAGCTGTACCGCATGCAACTCGCCTTTGATTCGCTCCACAAGGCTCTGCAAAGCCATTTTATGAATACGATTGACTCAAAAAACAAGTGCTGGCCTTGGGCCAAAAACTGCTGCAGAAGAATGTACAGCTCGCCAATTCTTATCGGAGTCACGCAGAAAAAATTGGTACAAAGCTACTCAGCACTATGGCTTCATATATTTGACTTCGCATACGGAAGTGAAAGCTATCGTAGTCGATGTTTTCAAAAGCATAAACTTACGCGGTCTAGCTGTTGTTGTTGGTCGTCTTGTAGTTGGACAGATGCCAAAGATAGTACAAAGATTCTGCAAATAACTCGTGAACAATATATTATATCCTAGACAGCAAGTCAAAGTTGTCACTTAAAA